GGGGGGGGGGGGTTTGCATGATGGTACATTCATTCGGGGACTGGAAGGGGATAGCGAGACCCCTTGCTCCAAGATCTGTATTTTTTTTTCTGGTTCTGAAGGGTCTGGAAGGCTTATGGGTTAGGGGGTTCATCAAAAAGTGCTTAGGGGAGTAGCCGAGGATGAGCGCACCGCCGAAGGGTGGACGCCGATTTGCTTGGCGGCCCTCGATGGCAGTCCTATGCTCGTCTCTGCCTTACTGGAGCAGCACGCTGACGTCAATGACCGAATGAAGCATCCAAGCCTGATTCCAGTATTTGGCTTCAGGATTGGCTTGTTGGGTTCAGGGACTTGTAGTCTTGCTTTGTATTCTTGCTTGTCAATGTTTATTTTGGGACTGGGGGGTCGGGAACACAGCTCGCAGGTTTAACGCTCCACCCTAACACCCGGAAGGCAGAGAGAGCCTGCCAGCCAGTTCGGACAAGACACGCCCTTGCTCCACATGTGCGCCTTTCTTACGAACAACGAGGACCTGGTGGAAGCGTAAAGGGTTTCGGGTTTGGCCAAGTCTTGCACGGCAGACCCGAAAGGACCAGCAAACTTCGCTCCCTAAATCCTGCGACAATCGTGCGGCCACAGAATCAGAGCCGGCAGCGGTAGTAGCAGTCGCGCTGAGAATCATGAGAATAGTGATGATGACAGTGGTGCGAATGGTAACTATGATAAGCAGTAGTGAAGTGGACAAGAAGCGGGCCAGTAGGATAGTCAAGGTGGGTTTATGCATGATCACTACGGCTACGGATGCGGTGTTCGCGTCGTAGGGTTTGGGAAGATGGATTTGGAGAAATTATGAATGGCGACAAGCAGCAGCATCCAACGAGAATCGTACCGAAATCAATAATGACACATGGTAGCCCGCTATTGATTACCAGCCCAACTCGTCACACCCCATGAAGGCCCTGCGTGTGCTCATCAGCAGCCGAGCTGATGTCACCTCGAAAGATGGCTTCGGCGCATCGCCTCACCACTGGGCGGCTTTCTCCAACAATGTGGAGGGTATCAAAGCCCTCTGCATGGCTGGTTGCAGCCCTACCGATGTAAACATCCTCGGCTACTCTCCGTTCCGAGTCGCTGCTTCCGTGGGCCGCGTTGACGCCATGCGGGCGCTACTTCCCTACACGCCAAAGGAAGAGATCGACCTGGCGCTGCATGCCGCGATGCTGCAGGGAGGAGGATCTGCAGAGGTCGCCGTCGTGAGCCCAACACGAAGCGAGCCTAAACCAGCCATCCCTAAACCCTGCATCTTGACACCACGAGGCCCCCATAAGGCCCAAAACCTGCCCAAAATCCAGAGACGTTTCGAAGCCCGAACAGCCGCCCGAAACAGCCCTGAGAAAGTCTTATACGCAGACTTCAAACGTCGCAAAATCAGAGGACATGTCCACCTAATCTAAACCGCCCTAGGCCCCAAATCCTCCCAACCCTGAGCGGAAAACTTTAGATCGCCCCTCGACACTTTATAAAACGGGCCTGCAGGAACCCTCTTCGAAGCCCCTGCAGGTCATGTCCACCTTGATAGGCTTGGGAGCTGACGTGAACCTGCAGCTGAAGATTCCCCTGTTCAGCCCGCTTGGGATCTGGTTTGGCTGCCTCAGCTTCCTGGAAGCCCTACCTAACCCCCAACCCCTGAACCCTACACCCTAAACCCCTAAACCCCTAAACCCCTAAACCCCTAAACCCCTGAACCCCAAGCCCTAAACCCTAGCTTTGAGGTTTAGGGTTCCGGAGTCGGGTTGGAGGTGTAGGGCCTCAGCCAGGTTTTCTGGGGTTTCTGGAAACTAAACATGGTGAAGCTGGGTTTTATGTAGGTCTCCTAGGCAGCTTTCTGGAATCCAAAGCTGCTTTAGATTGCATCTGTCTTTTTTTGGGGAGCTTCATGCAAGCACCGCAGTATGGTAGCCGAAAGCGCAGACACGCCTCCTACACACCCTGAAGCCATGGCGTTCTCAATAGCAGAGCCCAGTATATCCCAAACCCCTAGCCTCGAAGGCCCCCGAAGCCCCAAACCCTGTCAGGGTTTCTATGAAGTCACCGAACCCCGAACCCCAAGAATAGCCCAGGTTTGAGGCATCGCTGGAAGACCTCAGTGCTGAGTTCCTACGCCTACCACCACTACCAAGCTTTTCGGCTACGTTACAAACTGGCGGCGGTTCGGCACAGGGTGGGGGTGGGGTCGAAATTGAGCTGGTCCCACCAAGGCCTTATTTGGGTTGGTAAACTTGGGTTGTAAAAAAGAGCAAGAGTTCTGAATCTTACAAAAACCCCTGTTGGGTCCTTGCCTTCACAAGGATCCGTTCAGCTAGGGTCTAAATGTGGGGCGCTTTTTCGGTGTTCGCGTTTGGTGCCCTGAGTTCTCTCCAACTCCCGAACTCTTGACTTCCAAGCCCAGACGAAAGCCCTGAAACCCGAGACCCGAGACGCTGAATCCTACATCCTGCAAGCCGAGCCTTGGAACTTTAACCCTACTCTCAACCTTCAACGCTCTGAAATCCTACACACGAATATCCAAAGCCCTACAAATGCCAAAACCATGTTTAAACATCCAAAACCCTAATGCCAACCGCCGCCATGAGGCAACGCCCCTCATGTGCAGCGTCATCACCGGATCCTTTGAGGTGGGGATATCCCAATGCCCCCTCGGCCCCCTTGGGGGGGGCATCTTAGATTAGGTTGCTTGCGTTTCTGAGACTCTCCGTGTACCTCGAGTGCGCAAGGCCTTTCCTGAAAAGAGTGTTTTTAAGTTGCAATCATCATGATTTTCCATAGGCCTCCAAAGGGATCCCAGTATTGGGATCATAGTTTAGGTTCCTCAGGGTTTCGAGTGTGCGGATGTTGACTTGAATGTTTCGGGCTGGGAGGGTGCAAGGTGCAGGCTCTAGGGCTTAGGGTCTAGTCCATGGGATTTCAGAAAGTAGGGGCACCCTATGACCCGAAGGCCATCACCCGGAAGTCCTAGACCCAGAAGCCCCATGCTCTTTGCCGGGCAGGCGACCGCGACCCTCCTAGGGGCAGGGGCACGTACGGACCTACGAAATGCACGTGGGCTCACGGCGGAGGTGTGCCTTGGGCTTGGGGACCTTGGAGGCTTAGGACTTATAGGGTTTAGGGTTTCGGGTTTAGGGTTTATGTGGGAGTTTGCATTCCGTTGTTGGGCGCGTGGGTTTCGGCTGAAGGGTTCAGGAGTTTAAGGGCTTCAGGGTGTTGGGGATGGTTCGGGGTAGTCCAGTACTCCTCGGGTAAGATACAGTAGCCTATGGAGGAATCCGTAATGTTCAAGATCTATATTGCTTGAGCACCGGGCTATTGGGCTTTCCTGGGGGAGGGGCCCAGCGTCCGCAAAGCCCTGTCGTACCCTCAAATGCCCAGTAAAGCCTAAATCCTGAATGCCTCCAAATCCTCAAAGCAGAACCCAGACCCTGAACTCCTGCAGGAGCTGGCGCGTGAGACCAGCGCCCCTGACTACATCATACTGGCTTTGCAGGGCCACGGGGATGCGCGCGAGAAACTCGTAAAGGCCCTGCCCTAAGCTTGTCTTGAGTCTTGACATTTCAGTTCCAAAAGCCCTATACGACCAGGAACCCATTCTTTTTCGGATGATTTAGGGAAAGCGGAGCTACCCAGGGCTGTCCTTGATTTCGGGACCTTCATACAGAACATCCTAAACCTAACTGCTATTCAAAGACCCATAGGGTCTGGGGGGGCCTGCAGGGCCAGTCCTCCTCGAATCTCAAAAGGGGTAAAGATTGTGAAGCTTTAGGGTTCGAGGCTTTTCGAGCTTCAGTGCATAAGCCTGAGCGTTGAGAGCTTCGCCTGGGGGCTTCGGGTTTAAGTTTTTGGGGCTCGGGTTAGTGTTAAGACATGTTGAGACCTTTAGACACACAGGGCCTCAGGGCATTGGGGTGAAAAAAGGAGGGAGGGGTCTCAGGGTGCCGATCGCCCAAAGTCGTTGGCCCCAATCCCCACCCCCCCCCCCGCCCGCCAGCAGTCACAAGGCAGAGGAGTTTACTGGAGGGGTTCAGGCGGGTTCGGGAATCACCGGCTTAGGGTTGGTTTTGGTGTCCGAGGTTTTTTGGGCGTTGGGATGAAACCATAAACCCAAAACCATCCCAACGGAGGAGCTAGTCGGTAAGATCCGAAGTCTGACTCCCCTAGTCCTGGCGTAGCGGTGCCGCGGGAAGGACGTGAAGAAGATTGCAAAGCTGGAGGTGGCAGATCCTGAAGAGGACCTTGCACTCATCAGCAGCGAGTTAGTTTGAAATAGTCTGGATTTCTCATCAAAAAAACTCTCTAAACTCTAATGACCAGAAGCCTGTGCTTCCCGGAATGTTTGGCTCCGGGGTCGCGGCACTGAAAGGCTGTAGGAGTTCCAAAGTTCCCAGATATCGGCTTCTCCGTGTGATGCTTCCGAATAGCCGGGAGCTTCCGCAACTTCCCTGGCACCTGACGCCTCACAGATCCTCCATCCCGCTGTATTAATGACAGATACACCCGAAACCCCAAGAGCATCTCAGGATCTAGAAGGCCTAGAAGTTGCAAGACATGGAAGGATCCGAGGGTTTTGATGCCCCTTGTGCGAAGCGCAGGGGCGTGCTATTTAACTGCTATGCCTGCCATCTTTGCTGGCACGAGCCAGGGCCAAAAATGGTCTAGCACCCGACTGGATTACCTGTGGGTGCTGGGTGTAGGATGTCCAAGACGTGACTGCGCCAAGCTGAAGCGGGGATTGTTCCAAGGCTTTCAGCCCCAGAGTCTGAACGCCGAAGTTGATACTGGAAGGGAAGTGATGCATGGAACAACTCCCCCCAGGTACTGGGTTTTTGTTCCGGAACTCAGCCCGACCTAAGGTACCACATTATTGAAATTTCAATATGAATCCTTGCCTTGTGTTCCTGCGATGCTAACTGCAACACTGAGCCAAAAAACCTTCGACCGCAGACCCTATGGGTTCCGTAGCAAGCGCCCAAGCAGCAGCTCTGACTATGTCTCGCAAGCTGCGAGAGCCAGGAAGCGAGCTGAAATTGCCAGCGCACAATACCTTCCATCTAGGGTTTTGGATATGGCTTTTGGTGTTTCTGGTTTAGGGGAATAGGGATTAGGTTCAAGGAATTGACTTTTGGGCTACCCCGAAGACGCGGAGGTGCCAGAAATGGATGTCCAAGCTGGACTTCGGCTACCGGGTTTAAGGAATTGACTTTAGGGCTAGTGTTCCAGGGGCTTGCAAGGGTTTCGGGTTCAGGCCGAGAGTCGGTTCTTCAGCCCAGTGTGTCCTAATTCCCAAAGTCCTGGACCCTAAGCCCAGGAAATCTTACCCCCCAAGATCCCGCGCCGGAACCCCAGCCCTCCAGTAAACCCTAGCTGTTGCCGAAAAGCCATGCTTTCTGAGGTAAACTTCACTGATTCAGGACCACACCTCGAAACCCGACAGCAAGCTGACGGTGTAGATTGTTTCTTGGGGTTCACATAAGTCTTGATCTAAGCCGGGTTAGCCATGCTCATAGCAAGGGCCAGACCCCTAGCCTTGACCGCCTCGGCTGGCAAGCGCCCCGGGTTGACGAAACTCTGGGATAACGAAGCTCGTGGGCAGGAAAGCTCCGGTGCTTTTTGCGGTTTAGTCTTTCTGACTAAGTCACAAGGTTGAGCTCGATTCTGCGTCGAGGCGCAGCCGCACGTTGCAGGGTAAGTGGCAAAAGGACGCGTGGCAGCCTGGCTGTTTCCTTTGGAAACCACTCTTCTCTTCTTCTTGTTCGTGCTCATATGGCTTCTACATAGCGCCTACGATTGACTGTGGACAGTATTCACGAGACACTTCTAGGAAGACCGACCTTCTTGGTGCTTTTGCTTGTGCGACTCGTTTCCCTCGTATTCGCTAGGAAAGGTAGCAATACCGGCACTACAGTGGGAGGGGGCCTCTGCCACTCCAAGCCCTAAAACAGAAAGATGTCAGGCCTCTACATCCTCCTCTCCCTGGCTTCTTGGACCCTCAACCCTCAACCCTAGATCCCTGGAGCCCCCATAGGGGAGCCTTGTGAAGCAGCCTTCCTCGCCGAGCTTCCATGGGTCGCAGGTTCCAAGACGTTTACATGACGGGTCGGAAGCTGGGCGAAGGCAGCTTCGGAGCCCAGGGCCCAGCCCAGCCGAACCCCTTTTTTTGAAGTGTGCCAGGGGGGGTTATGGGTTTATATAGGGGTTGTAGGGGTATCGAGGGGTTTACGGGTGTAGGGGTCTGGCGGTGTAGTGTTCAGGGGTTTAGGGTTTAGGGGTTTACCAGAACAACATCTCAAGTGAAAACCGAAGGAAGCCCAAGCTCCCCCACCAGAGATCCGAAGCCCTGAACCTTCGACTCACCCTGCAAGCCCCGAGCTCTTCCTCCCGCCAAGGCCGTCTACGAGGTCGCGCACCGCTCCAACGAGAGCACGATCCGGGTTTGCAAGGCCCGGGGCCTTTTTTTTGCGGCGGGTTTCTGTAAACCCAAAAGCCTCGTGCGTTGATAAAATTCAAGGGGATGGTATATAAAGATCCGACTGTTTACGTCCTATCTCCGCCTCCAGTTTTAACATAGGGATCGGGGCGAGAGGTGTGGAGATATTCTTCCCAAGCGACCCTTTCCTACTGCAACACTTCAGCTACTTATATAATCCCAAAACCCGAAGCCTAAACCCCAGACCCCGAGATCATGAATGGTTCCTAGACGTTTGCGCTGCGGTGAGACATGTCCAACAGTTAGTGATGTTGCTTCGGTCGTGTGATTGTATGATTGTGTGGAGAGAAAGTCTTAGCCTGAGCCCTCAACCCTAAAATGGGCACAGTAGCCGAAACAGTGCGTGTTTCCTCTCGACCAGAAGCTTCTTATGTGATGTCCCAAGTTGGAAATAATCCCTTCCGGAGCTTAGGTGGAGTAGACGGAGTGGTTGCAATAGACTACATGTCTTGGGAGGTGAGCCCACATTAAGGCTTCGGGGTTTCGGAGGCCGGGATCGCGTGGACTGAGGTCTAGGGTCTTGGTGTTGAAGCCTCATGTTGCCGGAAGCTAAATCAGTGACTTGCAGAGCTTTGGTGGCTCTGAAGGACTCAGCACGACGCTCGAAGATCACTAGTGCAGAGCACAGTTATCATAGCCGAGCAAGCTGACACGTCACAAGTCACAAGTGCGCATGCTGTGAAAAGACCGTTCTTTCAATTCGCTTTGCAGCCATGGCAGTTAATCCTCCAACACCCGGTGCCCCCGCAGATCCAGTGCTTCAACAGGGTATGAGCCCAAGTTCTACGTTTGTCATCGAGGGCGAATCTCAAGGCCCAGACTACGGCCGCACGACTCTCGAGTCGCTGCGTACTCCTCGGATGGAGCCTGGAATGCGGGGAGCTGCTCAGCTACCAAATGGGGCGCTAACTGCGACTACTGATGATGGTGGGGCAGGAACCATAGGCCCGTCCGCTGTGCAGAGTGTGGAGGCTGTTGTGGCAGCAGATGATGTGCAATCATGTCAGCTTCCTCATAGATCTGAAACAATGGTTGCAGAACCTTCTGGAGGAAGGGAAGATACCGGACCGGTGGCGACGATGGCGAATTTTTCCGGCCCCGGGCGCGACGAAACGTTGCAGGGAGGATCGTTATTCCCTCAGTATATGCCGTCTCCTTTGCCAGGTCAGTCACCAGTGGCCTCGCAAACAGGGACAACTACCAGGGCTGCAGCTTGGCTTTCACGTCTGGGAGACTACTTACAGAGGACTGTGGAGGTCACTTCGTGGACTACCCATGGTTCCCCTAATCATGCCGCCCAGTTGCCACTGCAGAATGCGTTACCTGGCCAAGGAAGACCAGGACCTTCACCTACGGTGAGAATGACCTCGGCAGGTGCGGATCATCGTCCTCCTTCGTCCAACGGATCGGCAGGAGTGTCCCCAGAGCTGGTACAAGCTGAAGTGGCAAGACAGTTGGAAGCAGCTATGGGAGAAATGCAGGATCAGCTTCGAAGGGAGCGCGAGCGGTCCGATGAAGCTGTCAAGGAAGCCCAAGCTTTGAGGCGTCAGCTGGATGTACATGAGATGAGGGCGGTGTTCGCCCCGCGCCCTCCTGAGACTGAAGGTGCACTTTTACCTCCGCCCGGCCTTGCGGACACTGTGGAGCCGAGCCCCGGAGTTTACACAGGAGTTACCTCGAATCACCCTCCTTCGGTCCCAGCGCTGGCAGGTTATCCTGAAGCGCGAGCTACAGTACGTCCAGAAGATGATTATGCCCAAGATCGGAGTTGTCAAGGGCGAGCTGGGGTACCTTCGGGAGTTTCTCAGGGAATAGAATATAATATTCCGAGCGCCGGAGTTTCAGGAGTTACCGCGAATCACCCTCCTTCTGGTCCTTCGGTATCGTTACCTTTGCCGAGGATGCGTACCAGGTCACAATCTCCAGGTCCCAAGGCGTTCGTTGCAAGTGGGCCATCTACCACGGGGGCAAGTTCAGTACAGCCTAAAGCAAGCCTTGGGTTACCGACGTCTACTACGCCAGGGGATAACTTGTTGGCTACAATGGCACGGGGCATTGAGGCTCTTCTTCAACAACAGCAGCAACAAGGCCCCCGAGCTGATCGCCCTGAAACCGTAAAGCCTGGAATCACTGACCTACCTCGACTTCCAGAATACCAACCCGCAACTGGCAGTATCGACCTCCTGAACTGGCTTACGCATATTCAACCGATAATGCAGGACTTGTCGGACACAAGCTACGCCTGGTGGGAGGGAACGCTTCAGGATGCGCTCTCGTGGTACACCAAGTACAGCGCGGCTTCTCCGCTTGAGCGACTGCAGCTCAAGCCATCTTCCTCTCAGGAGCTGCATCGTCCAGAATGGGCTCGCGTAGAGAGGAGGGCTACGGCGATGATGCTTTCGGCTGTGCCCCAAGCAGTGCGTGAAGAAGTTATTGCCATGGGAAGTGTGACGTCGCTGGCTTTGTTGTGCAAGCTTTATGCCGTGTATCAACCGGGGAATTTGCAGGAGAAAGCCCTGGTTCTACAACGACTAGAACGACCAGAAGAATTTGACACCGCCTTGCAGGCGGTGGAGGCCTTGAGGAAGTGGACGCTGTGGAGGCGCCGCGCTTCATCCATAGGGATAGCGGAGCCAGATGCCTCGGTGTTGGTGCAGGGTTTGGACCGCATCACCACCAAGGTGGTGAAGGCGAACAGCGAGCTCAGTTTTAGAGTCAGCCTTATACGGAGCACCTTGCAGGTGGATGTGTGCCCAAGCTCCCAGTCGGTGACTACTTTTCTTCAGCATCTTCAAGCGGAGATGGAGCAGCAGGCACGGCTGAGTGTCACGAAGGCTCCTGCACCAGTGAGCCCTGGGATGAGGGCTGTTACCCCAGTGGATGGGGCCGCGGCTACAACGACTACTCCTATGGCACCGCCACCGCCCCCCCCGAAGGGAGGCACCAATGGGCTTTGCCGCTTCTTCCAGGGAGAGAAGGGATGCCGAAGGGGAAACACATGCAAGTTTCCTCACACGTGGAGTTTGCTGGAAAAAGGGGCCAGATCAAAGAAGTGTTTGGCATGTGGAGCTACGGGCCACAAGGTCAAGGAGTGTCGGGCCCCAGGAGGAGGAGCGGCGAGATCATCGAGGTCAGCAACGCCTGGAATAGGCGAAACAGGCTCTACGTCCCCGACAGCATCCTCACCGGAGGCGCAGCGGAAGGTGAACTTTGAGGACGATGGAGTGATCCAGACCAAGGCCCTTCAGATGTTGAACCAGGTTCAGCATATGCCGCTGTTTAAGGCCTTGATGGAGAAGGTTTGTGGGTGGATGTCTCCTAAGTCGTCAACACGATCTACCTCGAGGGCGGCTTTGTTGGATTCAGGGGCTACTCATGTGTTGCGGGCCCCCAAGAATGAGGAGGAGTGGACCTCAGCGCGGAATGTTTCCGTGCAACTTGCTGGGGATTCGATGGCAGCAATGAAGCAAACCAGCTCAGGGTCGCTGTTGACGGGCGACCAGTTGGCACAAGTTATCGTTCCTTTGGGCAAGGTGATTTGTACGTTGGGTTACAAGTTGAGCTGGACCTCCCAGGTGTGTGAACTGATTGGCCCGGATGGATCAACCCTTCCCCTCACGCTCAAGAATGGCTGCCCGGAGGTCAGTGAGAAGGTTGCCCACAAGCTGATCAAGGAACTTGAGGATGAGCAGTTACCTCAGCTGAACAGTACAACGCAGTCTTCAATCAAAACGCTTCAAACAATGAAGACAAGCTGGTGGTCTTACTTGCTTGAGTATGTCAAAAATGGAGGCACCGATGAGGCGTGTATGGCCCTGGACCGAGCTCCCTTCTTCGACTTCAAAGAGATGCTGAAAGAGCGTTTGGTTACACGGCTTCCAAAGGAAGGAATTTGGGAACTCCTGAAGGACTTGAGGGTCAACCGAAGGGCAAGAAAGCGACTACTACGTGCCTCGGCGTGGATCTTGAGGTGGGATCCTCCAGCAGTGGAGCGGCCGTATGAAGCTGCCAAGCACTTGGCCTTTGTTGGCGACATGGTGTATGTGAATGTGAACCGGTTGTTGTTCGAGAATGAGTTCCCCGAGGTTTGGAGAGTTCTTCAATGGGCTGCACTCCAAGGGAGACTGGGAACAATCGTGTCCCGGGATGCTCCCGCTAAGCCTCTGGAGCAGGTTGCCGCTGGACCTCACAGGTGCATGGTCCACTTCGTGCATGCTTTATCGTCGGCCGCGAGGGAGCTACAGGGAGGAGGTGGTACGCGTCTCTATGTGGAGGACCTCGCGGGGAACTACGACATGAACCACTACGAGACCAAGTACGGTGACAGTCTGTGGCCACCCTGGACGCTGTGCAAGGACTCCATAGCCTATTATGAAGAGATGGGACTGTCTGAGGTTTCCATTGAAAGGTTTGCTGGAGATTGTGTGTTGCGAGTGGCTAAGCTGAGCAGTGATGCAGCCTGGAGATTGCATGTGGCCCGGAACCACCAGCCTTTCAGGAGAGACTGCTCTGTTTGTGTGAGGAACAGTGCAGCGGGGCACCAGCATCGGACTACGATGCACCCGATGGCGTACAGTCTGAGCGTTGATGTGGTTGGTCCGCTGAAGGGCTTTGGGAAGTCGCCGGACGGGAAGTTCTTCAAGTACTTTGTGATCGGAGCCATGAGGGTTCCACGAATTGATGGTGCAGGAGGACATGGTGAAGTTCGAGGCCACCCTCTCCCACCACCGGATCCTGAGGAAGAGGTGGAGCAACTGTCTGATGACGAAGATGAGGTGGTTCATGGTGTTCCCGAAGGAGCTGGCGTAGACCTGGATGATGTATCAAAGGAGGAGGAGCAATGGAAGAAGTTACTTGCAACGTTCAAAGAGCCCATTGCCACCTCTACCCTCTACTTTGCGATCCCTGTGAACAACAAGAAGGCAGCCACGATGCTACCGGCAGTACAAAGGATCGTTGCGGATGTGAAGGCTTTGGGCTACCCCATCACGAGGATCCACTCAGATCGAGGTGGTGAGTTCCGTGGGAACCTGGTGCGGAAGTGGGCGCTTTCTCAAGGGATGTGGCCAACGACTACTTCGGGCTCAGATTCAGCTGCCAATGGGGTGGCAGAGTCAGGAGTTCGCTACTTGAAAAGACGAGCTCGAATCTTGTTGGATAGCGCCGGCCTCGACAAGGTGAATTGGCCCACGGCGGTGCAGTATGCAGCAGCCCAGCAACGATGTGATCAACTTGGCGTTGTTCCCGTTATGCCAGTGGCTTATGGTACCAAGGTTTATGTGAAGACCAAGAGGTACAAGACCGGGGCAGTGGAGGACTTTGGCCATCATTGGACTCGTGGGCGGTATGTTGGACCGTCTACAGACATAAGGGGCGGCCACGTGATCCTCAAGGACTCTGGAACTTTCATTCAGACGACGCACGTGCGAGTAACCCGGGACCCACCTTCCTTGGAGGAGGTAGCACCCACGGTCCTTGTGGAGCCGGAGGAGGATTTGGTTTCAAAGGATGGCGATCCACCTCTTCCACCTCCGCTACTACCACCACCTGAACGACGCGTTCGGATCAAATCCCCGCACATCTCAAAGATTGATGGGTTTGCAGCTGACTATGAGGTGCTGTATGATGCTCCCCAGGACCCAGACGCCTTTGAGGGTGAAGAAAAGGAGTTGAAGTATTTACGAGTTGGGGAAATCCAGTATATGGAGGCGGTGGCCGAGCAGCTGTACAACGAGGACAAGTTTCAGGAGGAGCATGTGGCGAGGTTGCTAGCGTTGGTCGCTGGGACTTGTGGCAATTTGAAAGTTCCAAGGGCCCCTGGTGGAAAGGGGATGGTTCTGGGAGGTTATGTGCATGGAGGTTCGTTTGGGATCACTCGCTATGGACGAGATCTTCCTTGGGTGCAGCGATACTTCAACTACTACCTCGCAATGAAGATCAAGAAGAATTGGCCGGACCGAGAGTTTTCATGGACTACGTTGGCCATTCAGTCGGCGGAGGAGATCCCAAAGCACAAGGACAGCCACAATGAGCGCGGGACGTGCAACTATGTGATGGAGTTGAAAACGGAACCTCTTGAAGGCCTATGGGTACAAGATGATGATGGAGAGAGAAAGGTCGTTGGAGGCGACAACCCAGCGGACTTTCAGTATGAGGACATGGACGGCAGGACCTATGATGGGTGCTTGCTAGATGTTACGTCAACACCAGCGATGTTTGATCCGCTGGTGCCCCATGCTTATGTGAAAGGAGGTGGAACAAAATGGTTTTTGTCAGGTTACACTCCACAGGGAGCTTACAAGTTGTGCACCAATGACAAGAAGTATCTGGTCCACTTGGGGTTTCCTCTCGCTCGTCCTTGTGAAGATGATTGTGGTGGGGCGCTGGAAACCACACCAGTGCTAAAGGCAGTACCCTTCCCATCTGGGACACCATTGAGTGGAGCTCATGGTGAGGATGATGAAGTGGGTGTTGTCACTACCCATGATTGCGAGACTACGTTGTGGGAGTGGGCAATTTATGCTGAGACACCTCCCCCAGATGAACAAGATGGTGTTTGGCCGTGTCGATCGGTGTGTTTAAAGAAGCTATGTTCATCAGATGACCCCGGTCCCGAGCTCGAGGTCTTGACCAAAGTGCCGGATATCTTGGCTGAGGAGGAGTATGATCCTTTGATTCAGCGAGACATGGAGGTGAATGTGGAGCACTGGACTTCAATGGGTTTGTATGATTTCCCCAAGGTTGCCAAGTTGGAACCGGAGTATGTGGAGGGAATTGAAACTATTATTGAACAAGCCCTCACTTCTGAAGTTCCTCTTCGTCATACCTACAATGTGAGTCCGGCCGAGGCCAAGGCGGTGATTGAGAAATGGCGTCCAGCCATTACAAAGGAGCTGGGAGTTGTTGAGCGAGGCTTCAAGAAGGTTACCACGGCTGAGGTGATGGCCCTGAAGGAGAAGTTCACTGTTCAGGAGTTGCCCTCCAAACTCGTGTATATATACCGTCAAACCCCCAGCTGGGGATGCAGGCCATCACGGAGAAGCTGTTTTCTGTCGTCGGAAGGCACGTATCGTGTGCTGTGGAAACTACGCCGCAGAAGACCAAAGTGACCTATTTGCAGGAGGAGCAGCGGCGGAGAGTTTGAGGTGTGCGTTGACCTACACAGCGAAACGCCGATGGCGATCTGGGATCACCGACATCACCGGGGCGTTCATGCCCACCCCCCTTCCGGGAGGCCCTGGTCAGATCGTCTACATCATTCGGCCCCCGGCTGCATTGGTGCAGCTGGGACTTGCGCACCCCGGCGAGCGATGGCAGCTTACTCATGGAATGTACGGATTGAGACAAAGCCCCCGGCTGTGGTCATCATTCAGAGACACCGAGCTGAGGAAGATGAGGGTGTCCTACCAAGACAAGTTCTGGGTTTTACGACAAGGAACAGCGGAGCCAAACATGTGGTTGATTTACGAGGAGGGAGCAGAAGAGTCTTCAGAACCTGCCGGATTGGTTTTGGTATATGTCGACGACATCCTCCTCAGTGGTCCACTGGGCTTGGTGCGAGCTACCTCGAGTACGATAAGAAGCGTGTGGAAAGCTTCAGAGCTTGAAGTGTTGGATGTGGACCACGAGATACGATTCCTTGGTTGCGAAATTGCAGTGACGGAAGACTATGATGCGGTCTACATCCACCAGAGACCGTACATCGACGAGATTCTCCGTCACCATGCTACACCGGCGACTGATTTATCACCTATTCAGTCCCCGAAGGAGCTCGTGACCTTCGAGGCCAAGGAAGGTGAGGATCCAGGCAGCGAGGAGGAGGTGAGACAGGCCCAGCGGGCCTGTGGAGAACTACTTTGGGTCGCGCAACGGAGCCGACCCGACATCTCATTCGTTGTTTGTGCTATGGGTTCACTACTTACAAGGGCTGCTCCCCGATGTTTGATGATCGCAACCAGGCTGCGTTCTTACTTGCAGAGGACGAAGAACCTCGCGCTGGCCCTGAAGCCTACGAACAACGAGTTCACCATCTACACAGACAGCTCGTTTGCACCGGAGGGCTCGAAGAGTCACTCTGGCATGGTCGCGGTGTGGCTGGGTGCTCCGGTGTGCTGGCGCTCTTCAAAGCAACCTTTTATTTGCCTGTCGACGGCAGAGTGTGAGTTGCTAGCAGCAACCGAAGGGCTGGTGATGGGTAAAAGTATCGCGTCGGTCTTGAACCAGATGATGAAGGATGTCGGGAAGATCTACTTGAAGGTCGATAATCAAGCGGCTATAAGTTTTACCCGACCGTCCTCCTCGGTGTCGTGGCGTACACGCCACCTACGTGTGCGAGCTTCCTACATTGTGGAACAGGTGGATACAGATCAGGTGGAAGTGGTGTTTGTGGCTGGAAAAAGTCAATGGGCAGATTTATTGACGAAGTCCTTTCCTCGACAGCGACTTGAAGAGCTGGTTGGACTTTGGGGCTTTGTGGATGTGGTGGCAGAAGTTTCAAAGGTGACTATGGCACGGATGCTGGTTGCCTGTATGATGGTTCAGACAGCGCGTGCCCAAGAAGAGGATCCTCTGTCACTGACTACATCCTTTGACCTCTACATCATGGTGATTCTGCTTGGGATTGCTGTTGTGGCGGCTTGGGAGTTTTTATGGTGGTGCTTGGATCGATGCTTTGGGGAGGTTCGCCCTTCCAGATCAGCCCGGAGATTGAAGAACCTTCAAGAAACGATCCAAAGGGAGATCGAGCTGCAAATGGCAGAGAGAAATACGGAAGCAACGGCATCATCACCTACAGCGAGGACACCCTTGGACGCATCGACTACAGCAAGAACACTGTTGGCATCGTCACCTACAACGAGGACACCAAGGCCTGTGACACCTACCACGAGGGCACCAAGGCCGGCGACACCTACATCGAGGAGACCTACACCCTCGTCAAGGACATCTGGGAATCAAGCGCCTATGACAACGGCCGGCCTGGATCCTTTGACTACATCAACGGCGTTTTCATCATCTGCGACCGCGTTTGGGCAGTCGGCTACGAGTTCTCGTTCTACTACAAGAGAGGCAGGGGTCCAGATTGATGCTCGACCCTTGATATGCTATCAAGATAGGGAGGTGCCAGTTGCAGTGCCGGATCCTGCCAGCTGGACACATCCCCTGTACATCAGTCCATCAGGGGACACCTACCATACCTTCGAGAACTGTTGGGGTTTGAGAAACACGAGAGCTCGGGCGGTTCGCTTTTGCCAATGCTGCCGTGACAATCACGGAAGATCCTTAAGGGATCGATGAGATAATGTTTACCCGGCAACTGTAAAGATATGGTTTGGTGCCCTTCTGCTCTTGCATTGGGCAAGGAGGAGTGTTGAAGCCTCATGTTGCCGGAAGCTAAATCAGTGACTTGCAGAGCTTTGGTGGCTCTGAAGGACTCAGCACGACGCTCGAAGATCACTAGTGCAGAGCACAGTTATCATAGCCGAGCAAGCTGACACGTCACAAGTCACAAGTGCGCATGCTGTGAAAAGACCGTTCTTTCAATTCGCTTTGCAGCCATGGCAGTTAATCCTCCAACACCCGGTGCCCCCGCAGATCCAGTGCTTCAACACTTGGGATGTCTCGGGTCTGGGACGTTTAGCGGGTTTTTGCCACGGGGTAAACCGGTCTGGGCCTTTCCAGAATGGAGTTTAGTTTCCCTTCATGAACCGCCCTTGAGGTCATCCAGAAGTCTAGCGCAGACAAGGCGCCTGGGAGAATGAGGAGAGCTGCGATCACCAAATCCCCCCGAAAATCGATTGCAGCTTTGAACGCTGATGGAGGTCTACAAAGCTGGACTAGGCTTTCAGTATCGGTTGTATGCAAGTATATGAGCGACCTAGACTGACAACCGGAAACTCGAACTAAACCTTGAAATTTTGCGGATCCGAAGAACGCCACCCAAAAGCCCAAACTTAAACTCCAAAGCCCGAAACCCCAAAAGCGCCAAACCCTAAAAGCACCTTCATCCCAAGCCCTGAGCCTTAAGACCTCGACCCCAGCCTCTCAAGATATGGGGCGGGGGGTGCTTGCCAGGCATGGGGCTCCAGTGTTTGGACAGGCTTTACAGGTGATTCTTGTTTGGTGCATTGATAGGTTTAGGATTCAGGAGTTTAGGGTTTAGAGCCAAAGGCGGCTTGGGTTCAGGGTTTCCAGTAGGGTCTGGAGTTTAGGGAATAGGGTTCTAAGTTGGATTTCGGGGGAAAGGGGCGATGCCTGTTACAAGGTGTCAGGCCTCGTGGGACGGTTCCTCCTTTTTTTCCTACGGTCTTTCTGCGCTGTTGTGTGGAGCCGTCCCGAGTTCCAGGAAGGCGTCGGCCCAAGCCTGAAGCGGCAAGTGTCCACCATGACGCCCGCAACCGGATGATCCCGAAGCGCTGTAGCCCCTGCACTCTGAACCTCTTAACCTGCTGCTCAACACCCAGTCTCCCGGAGCAGCATCGAAACTGAAGCCTGATACTTGTGAGCAAGCTTTGAATGGGCACCGTGGGGAGGGGAGCCTTAATCTAGAACATAGCTCCTGCCACTAGCAAACATCATCGTACAACAGAGATCCGATCTTTGCTGACGCTTGCAAGGCAAAGACCTCGCACCAGCGCGTCCGTGAGGAGTTTGCTGTCGTGGGCTGAGGTGGCACCAGGAAAGACCTTCGGCTGATTTTCTCGAACACAGGCAGAAAACAAAGGTCATTTGGCATCTTTTCGGTTGAAAAGAGTTCCTGCGGACGCTTCCGGGGTCAGGTGGGGGTAAGACCAAGACCAACATCGGTTGGAATCCGTGTGGGCTGTGCTCGGCCACTCGAGGTTCTCAAGCGCTTGGATCACCCCCACGTCGTGCGCCAGGGACATCCGCCACGGTGAAGTTGGTTGTGGGTGCCGCCGTTAAGGAGCCGCAGTGTCGCCGTGCCGCTATATAGGTTGTAGAGTATTGTAGCGTGTAGGGTTGTGCTTTACCAAATGAGCTGCAGCTGTAGACCCAATTAAGAGCCCAATGCTAAACCTGAAACGAAACGTAGCCGTGAAGCGTTGAGGGGATCAAGGGTTTCTAGACTTTGGTCCTCGATTTGCAGGGCGGGTGCTGGGTAACTCCAAGGCCCTGCTGCCTCATGTCCAATTGGAGTGAGCCAAGCCACCCCCCCCACTGGGCAAGAACATCGGCTTACGATTACGTCAGTTCCCAGCCTTCAGCCATCAACCTCTCTAGAGTACCGACACTCGTGTTCCCAACTGGTTTCACTTGCAGACCATGATGATAAGAGACTAACCCTGAAGTTTGGAGCGGCTCGAGCGGCTTCTGGAGGCAAAACGAAAAATACTAGACAACCAGAACTCATCCCCCAACAAACTTCTCAGCCATAGCTTCACGAGCAGGTACGGATCTTCGAAGATTTCGAGGACGAGAGGACTCTCGGCACTGTCGTTTCAGGGGTTGTAAGGTGCTGCGAGTTGCAAAACAGTTCGTTTTGGGTAAACCCGGCAGCTTGCGGGCTTGGCAGACGTAGGGCGTACAGGTTTCAAGGGGGTTTGGGGGGGCCCAAGCTGTGGTCTTTGGCCTTGAGGCCAAAGCCTCTCTTGGCTAGGTCTTGGGAGTTCTTGGTTCGAAGGTATGGGCCGTATGGGGCTCTGGTGTGTTTGCAGCGCTTCGTTGGGGCTTGCGTTGCCCAGGCTTCAGGGACTTTAAGCTCTGAAAACCCCCCCTTACTTCGTCCCTAATCCGGAAGGCCCAAGTTCCTGGTGCCCAGCTGGCTTAACTCCTTATCCTTACACCCTTAGACACCGGAGACCTACTCTAGAGGTCCGAAGAGCAAGGACCCACAAATTCAACTTGAATCCACAAATCAGTACCCAACCGCTGCTCAACCCGTCTTGACACTTTACAGAGCCCCTAATGGAATACTACATAAGTCTGAGGATTGCGGAACTGTGGTATCAAAATACTAAACCCCATAAGTCCTGAATCAGAAACCTTGAAGCCGAAGCCCCGCCGTATCGAACCTGCCAGCGCCCTATAAAGCCTAAAGAACCCCAGCCACGCCCGACCTCTGAACTCAAAGACCAGTAATTTGGAGCATCATAAACCTCATACCGTTACAGCAAAATGCAGGCAAAGACCATGCAGTCATCATCCCCATCCCATATTCCAAATTTCTGAACCTGGAAGGACTAGCCAAAACGCTAGGCCCTAAAACGCTTAGCCCTAACCTGCCCTGTAAACCCTTACATGAACCCCTCAAGCCTATGAGCCAAGTAGGCGCCCTGGGAAGAAACGCAGGGGAGTTGGTGAGTTTCAGAACATAAGGGGCCTTCGCACTGACTCTCAAGAGTGATACCCCCAATCACAGATACCACCCGAAACGAGCCCCTAGCTTGCTTTCCTCAAGGTGTTTTTACCTGGTGATGGAGCCATGCCGAGGGGGAGACCTTCTGGACACGCAGTCCTCCGGGGCTGATGTGTGGAAGAGCCTTCCTTCCAGAAGGTGTTAAGGGCCTTGTGCAGCGGTTTTTAAACAGTGGCTTGGTGGGGTCTTGTATAAAAGGCCTATTCGGTCGCACCACCACCACCACCACCAGCAGCAGCACTGCAATGCAGCCGACATCGAGATGATGAGGTTGATAATCTTGGATGCAGATGGTTTAGGTTTTGCAGATGAGGCTCAAGCTGATCATCATCACGCTGACGATGGTGCCGCTGCTACTGCCCGCCGCCGCCGCTGCTGCTGCTGGCGCTGACGATGATCATGATGTCAATGATGATACTGATGATGATGGCTGTGGCGGCCACTACGATGTTGGCAGTGATAGTGATGATCTCAGAGGGATCTCTCATGTAGTTTGGTATGCAGCTTGGCTCACAGGGAAAAGAACAAATCTTGGTCCTGCCATCCTTCAGCAGTTCACACTTCGACCAGCTTTACAAGTCTGCTCGCCACTAGGTGCCTTACGCAGGTGTTTGTTCAGGGTCTCAAGGCTTTCTGGCCTGCGACTCTCCGTCGTGTTTTCCCTTGGACAAGTAGTTCGATGCCGACCATGCCGCCCGTGAAGGGAGGTCGACGGGGCCAACGATGCGCCACCGCCCCAGCGCTACTGCATCAGAACTGATGCGGTCGCTCTTGTACTTACTACTACAACGATTAGCTGGCAATGCTAGACTACCACTACCACTGCCACTTCCACTAACTCACTAACACTACCACCTTTGATTCGACGACGACCAAGACTGCTGCCATTACCGCTGCACTACTGCTACCGCTACTGCTGCTGCTACGGCCACTGCTCTGCGACTGCTACCAGCTGCCACGAGTACCACTACTCCCGCGACTCCTGCTGTTTTAAAATATAACCTACTGTCCGTCTCTCAACTCCCCAGCTGCAACCCTCCACGAGCCTCCCGCAAGCCCGCAGAAGATCCCAAGCCCCCCCAAAGGCCCGAAGGCCGCTGATCCTCAAACATCCTCAAGCCATTTTATGGCTGCTAAGTCTCGAACCCAAACCCTTCAAACTGTAAGTTCCAAATAAAGCTTTATACTGTAAGCCCTATAAGTCTATAAACCGTACACCCGCCATGCTAAATCCTAGGCCCCTGAATCCAGTTAGGGACCCCCTAGCCTATTTAGGCTAATAATGCCACCGTCAACCCATTAGATGATTATTCCTATACTCCCCCCTACACTCCACCCAATATATCACTACTACTTCCCCATTATCAATACAAGTATAGGAATAACCATTACCCCATCTATTATCTCTAAGGTGGCATTATTGGCCTAAATAGGCAAGGGGTTCCTTGTAGAATTTGGGTTAAAGTTTGGGGTGCAGGATGCTTCCTGCAGAGGGCAGTGGAGAGAAAAAAGTTCTGGCAGCAAGCTTTTGGCGACAGTCGGAACACCAAAGATTAGCACGTTCAGTTTTACATCCGCTACCCCCACACAACCCCCCATGCCCAATAGGACGTCAGCCTGCCCTTTGAAGTATCTTGTTCGGTGGAGTTGCAGCCATGGGTGATGGCAACAGAAGCAGGTCGCCACCGCCCAGAAGTGGCAAATTCTGGTGGGTTCAGATGGGTGAAGATGAAAGCCGTATCACAAAGATATTCGAAGCAAACCTTGGGCATCAGAAGGATATCGATGACTTCCTTGCGGAAGCACGCAATATAGCGAATATCACAGTGTCTGTTCTCGACATGAAGCTGTTCGAGGACCGCGGATCAGACCGACCTCTGGATCGGGGAGGCTCTATGAATGAGGTGATGGGCGGCATTGACAAATCTGCTCCACTGGTTGTCAAATATCCGCAACCATCACAAGCCACTAGCCAATATTTTCGTTTTGATTTTTTCCCTCTGTTAGTTTAGGCTTAACTTCCCGCGTATCCTCACTACTTAGCCTATTTAGTTCCCTTAAGTAGTCCACGCTAGGAGAGTTCTTTGCTAGCATTTTGTTGGTGGGTTCGGTGCTTTCCATTACAGAATAGTTGCTGAATTTGTGAGTGTTTTGGGCACCAATGTTAGCCACAGGAGAAGCTGCAGAAAGTGACCGGAGTATACTGGTCTACATGGGCAGACGTGCAGTTGGTTGAGATGGGCACATTCCGCTGCCGAGAAGATTGTCGCGCGCATTTGCCCGCGATCCCACGGAGCGACGCACATCTTTTTTTTCTGACTGGACAAGTGAAGGCTTATCATCACGGCCCATCAGTTCTTTTCATCACGTGCGAGACAGACGTAACATTCTTGGTGGCAAAGGTGGACAAATCGCGCACATTCTGCCACACAGTGCAAGTTGCGCAGAAGTGTGGCAGCCCGCTTTGGCCACACTTTTTCCAGATGATCCAAAGCAAACCGGTGGAGTTCCTCTCACCAAGCTTGTGCAAGGTTCCAAGGCCAGAAATCTAGAACGTTATTGTCTGAGGCATGTCAAATGGAACAAGATGTGTTTCTGGAGCGAGGCGGAGCTGTTTGACAATCGGCGTGCCATAGGGCTCATCCCATGCATGGATGTGCAGAGTATGCTTGATTGGCATGGTGAGG